TCGACAGCTCTTTTTTTTTGGGCAACGTGTCAGGCAGCACTTCATGAAGCTGCCAAGCAACAGCCGCCGGCTAATACAGCTACAGCGCTCTGTGGCCATCTCTTTCGCCCACTGGCAGCCAGACAGTCGAGGCTTTGGCATTATAATGCCATTAACTTTGTCAGAATTTAGCGCAGCGACAATTTATGCATAATGAGCAGGCAGACACCCACACAAATACACCCACGCAGCGATATGCACACACACACACACGCACACATGCAGCTGGGCAATAGTTGTAGTGGGCTACCCAATAAGCATTTGCTATGAGGGAGAGCTAATGATGTGTTGATATATGATATAATATATTTATATATATATTGATATATATATATATATATATATATATATATATATATATATATTGCTTAACTAAACCTCTCTTTTAATATATATCTCAAATTTAATCTCGATTTATTTTTTAATAACTTTTTTGAACTTTTTTAGTTTCTCTAAGTTGGCTCATTAATTTTGTTCACTGGGTTACTTGGCTAGCAAAATGAGATTGTTTATGACAGCGCCCGCTGGGTAACTAACTCCCGGCAACTGCAACTGGCAGCGGCAGTGGCAATAGCTGTACTAGCAGCAGTAGCTATAGAGTGGATGTGGATGTGGATGCGGCTGTGGCACTGACGACAGCAAGTGGCAAGTGGCAAGTGGCAAATGGCAGTACGAGTATTTGGCAGTCATAGACGTCAGCTACTCGTAAGCTAGCCAGGCCATAATACCACTAAATATGTGCATATACACTCAGTGTATGTGTGTGTGTGTGGCTCTAGGGTTGCCATGGCAGGTGAAATTTCTTGGAAACACCACACAGCAGCAGCAGCAGCCGCCTCATTATGGCAATTGGCTGCTGAAGACTCGGAGACGAAAGTTGGCAACTGCAAGTCATCAAGCCTCAGCAGTGCAAGTGCATGTGTGTGTGACAGTGTGTGTGTGTCTGTGTGTGTGTGCAGCTGTGTTTATATTTGCACTATGCTTGACTTTGCTCGCTCGTCAGCGAAAAATTTGTGTTATTTGGCTGGCATGGCTGGGTTTTTCACTCGCACAGCTGTAAAATTTATGACATCGTACACTCACTCACAGCCAGAGAGAATTTTTGCATAGTATTTGCACTGGGCAAATTAATTTTGCCTCGACTGTAGTATTTGCGTTTTGCGGCGAGCAACGCCCAACAAAAAACAAACACACACAACCGATGTAAAGGCTGTGTGTACGAGTATTCGTACGAGCGTTTGGTTAATTAAAAATTTCTCATCAAATTATTTGAATTTCGTTTGGTTGCTGCTGCTGCTGCTGCTGCCTGTTGCTGCTGACACGACAACGGCGTCCGCCGTGTAGAACTTTTTGCCCGCTGTTTGGCCAACCTGAAGCTAAATCATAGAAGTTGCACTTTCAGCTATTTTTGTTTTAGAATTGTTTACCTAACAACTGGCTTAAAGTCGCAGGAAGTCTGCTTAGTTACAGCTTATGATATAGTATTTTTATATTAATATGTTACGATCTGTGACCATATAAGAGCAATAGAAAAAGCAGTTGCACTGAAATGAAAACAATTTAAAATATTTTATGGCGTTTCCTTATATTTTTGAGTTCAATTGATGCCATTTTAGATGGAGTTACATAGAACATCACATATCATCAAACATTCTTCAAATGATCGCCTAAGCATCGAGGCTTGAAATTTTGATGAGTCGTTTAAATATGTAGATTCTCTGCCAATGGCCACTTCAACTGCCCTTTGTCTTCTGTAAGCCAAAGACCAAAGACTTCATTTATGCTATAAATTTGCCTCTGCGACAATTTGCCTGCTCATTTTAGCCATGTTGAGCTGGAATTTTGTTAAACTAATTTTTATTATAGCCAAACCTAAAATAATTCATTATCAATTGTCAAACCTTGTTGAATATTTCAGCAGCTATATGTAAACGATAGTTTATCTAGCTGCCAAAATATAGCTATTGAAAATAGCATCACTATTGTTAGATCAGCTTGATCTTGATCCTACCTAAAGTGCCCATATGATATATTCCGTATGCCTTCATAATCTTAAGAAATTTTGATGCAACTTACCCATAAAATGTGAGCTTCCAAAACTTCAGTCGAGCCCTAAAAGTCATTCAGCTGAAGTTGAAAAGGTTTTCAATGAAGATCAGCTGTAAATCAAGAGTTTTCTGACCCGCGATCCTTTTTATCTAATGTAAATTTTTTATACACAAAGTATGTCTGGAGATTGCAGTCACATAGTCCTTAATCCCAACCTTTATCTAATCATATTTAATATACAATTTTGCCTGTCTAGTTTACTGCAAAAAAGCGCACTCAAAACTTGTAAATCGTTTAGAGATTTACAATTTGTTTAAACTACTCGACTAAAAACTGAATTGCTCTATAAATTGCTGCCATTAATTTATATTTAAGCAACTCTCGAGGCTGACACAAACAGAACAACAATAAATCAGGCGAAAAAAATAAACAATTGTAAATGTTTGCGAAAATGAACAAAGTCACGTTTTGAATTCGAGTTGAGCAGAAAAAGAGAAAGAACGTGTGGAGAGAGAGGGAAAGGGAGAGAAGAGGTGAGAGGGGCATTCTCTAAGTGCATTGTTTGGTGCAGTGCCAAAAGGTCAGCTCAAGCTCTTTAATCGCTACATATGAGAAGCGCCAGCAAATGGAGTTGAATCTATTTTTTTAAGCAAACTAAAATGCAACTTTATATGGATAGTGTACGTGTGTGTGTGTGTGTGTGTGTGTGTGTGTGTGTGTGTGTGTGTGTATTGTGCAAAACTTTGACATTTGCATTTGTCACAGTCGGTGGCAAAAGTTTTCAGCTTAAATTCCTGCATGCATTTCAACACGCAATTGGCATGTGACAGTCAAAATGTTTGCACAAGATGAGACAGTCGAACAGAGACAGAAAGAGAGAGAGAGAGAGAGATAGCGATAGGGAAACTGGCATACGAATCGAATGTTTGATATATCAATTTGAAAAGTTTGACTTAGTTTTCCCACTCGAGCATTTCGATTAAAGTTTTCCATGCGGCAGATTAAAAACTTTTATTCCCAGCTCAACTCTTGTGTGACCAAAAAAAGAGAGATCAGCACAGACACACACACTCAGCCACACACACAGCACACATTTGCATTGTCTGCATTACTTGGCAACATCCTGAGTAGGTTCCAAATGCATTTGCATTCTTTTTGTAGCCAAGTGGGCCATGGGCATACAAATCAACAAGAAACAAACACGAAAAGCCAAAGCCATGCAAATTGAATTGATTCAAATATGAATTGATGCAGTTCTAGCAGAGTTGAGTCTTAAGCAAAATCCGTTTATTTGCAAGTCTTTAAGCAGATTATGCTAGACGCATTTTAAAAGTAAAACAATTAATAGGCTTAGACTGGGCAGTTTGTGATCTGAAACTAATATGAAAAATCTCATAATAAATGGAAAATGGATTAAAACTAGTTTTGCGTGGGAAGAGATAAATTGAAAGATTTATTTTATGTGAGGGGATGATATAAGACTGTTACCAAAGTGAGGAGAAAAATATGTTTCCTGCTTGGCTAGAGAAAGATGTAGGGAATCAACCCAATCCCACTAGGAATTGAAGATGATTTCAATCTATCAATGACTGAAGAAACATAATAAAGGAGAGATGTAGAAGGAAGATAGAAATAAAAATAAGTAAATTAAAAATTATAAAAAAAAATCAAATAAAAACATGATCATTCTGCAAGTTAAGGAAAAATGCTAATCGTCAGCCAGAAGGTTTATGCTTCGAGTTTACGGAAGCCTCAAGTTGCTTAAAGCCACAAGTAAACCACTTTTTGCAGCGTACAGGAAAGCTAAAGGGAGAAAGATTTTTTGGGTTATTTTAATTAAAGTAAAAAAATAATGTGGAGATAATCTTTTAAGAGTGATATCAAAAATATGATATGAGATGTGATATCAAAGCCGCATTCTATACAAATCGAAGTTGAAGTAAGAAGAATGTATAAATGGATAAATAGTCAGAGGTGGATGAAGATAGACGCAAGGAGAGATGAGAATTGAGTTAGGCAGATTTTGATGATATATATTTAGAGATATGTTTATAGAACGATACATAGATAGGTAGATAAATAAATGATGGCTAGGAAACTTGCTTAGACATAAGACATAAGTACATAAATAATAAAAAAATAAATAAATGAAAGCTCTGCAATCAGATTAGAAATCAGAGAGAGAGACAGAGAGAGACCAATTTGTATGAATTGCTTTTGAGAATTCAAAAATGCAAATAAACAGATTACATATAGAACGCATACCTACACTGTACGAAAAGTGGAGTAAATCATAATAAACATTAGCTCATGCATATGTATGCGAGCATTCATGCGTGTTTGCTTATCTTCTTATTATTATTTTTTAACCATGTTGGCTGCTTGGTGGGGCCTGGCTGGCCAGACAATGGAGCTGCCCGGGAGTTGCGTGTGAGTCGTAAATTAGCGTTTCATTAGAGAACAGGTAAAATTTGTTCACAATGTTGTAGTTGAATTGGACGGCTGAACAGGTTGTTGCTGTTCGCTCAGTCGCTAATGCCGTGTCCATATCCGTGTCCATGTCCGGCCGTAGCTAAAAATAAAATATAAAGCCCGCAAATTAGTTGCATTACTTGATTAGAGCTGCGCAAATGCTATTATTAAAATTCAATTTCCTTTACGTGCAGGCGCGCATTGCATGTCTAATCGAGTTTAACAGGTTTTCCATTTATCATACGGAGTAAAACGGAAAAGAAAAACGGATTTTTCAATGAAGTACCGACGTGAATGCAAATTCCGGCGTACAATTTGATTTGAGTGTTATCAAGCTGCTCTCGCCTATCGATCTATCGATAATACATTTTCAGTGTTGCACAATAGCTAACAACGTAGCAGTGTTGCTTAGTAACAATTGCTCCGAAGCTGCTGAATACATGCTGATGAGCTGAATTTTCATTTGAGACTTCTCACTCAAACTAAAATAATCTAAGATTTTAAAACTTCAACAAAAAAATTAAGGAAAAACCTTGTGACTACCAAATTTCTACCATTGCACTATTTTGAGAGCTTAACGGAACTCGAGGATCGTTGGCAACGGCAACGGCAACGGCGACGACAACGGCATCGACATCGAGTGCATAACCCAACTTAAGCTCGCAGCCATTCGCAGATAACCAAAGAGAGGGGACAGCTTCAAGATGTCCGATCGTAAGGCAGTGATTAAGAATGCAGATATGAGCGAGGAGATGCAACAGGACTCGGTGGATTGCGCTACTCAGGCACTCGAGAAGTACAACATCGAGAAGGACATCGCAGCCTATATCAAGAAGGAGTTCGACAAGAAGTACAATCCCACCTGGCATTGCATTGTCGGTCGCAATTTCGGCTCCTATGTGACCCATGAGACACGTCACTTCATCTACTTCTATTTGGGACAGGTGGCCATCCTGCTCTTCAAGAGCGGTTAGACCCCACATTGAGGGCCTTGGCGATATGTTCTACTTTTAGAGCAGATCGTGGCAAAGAGTCTCAATCAACCTGGAAAAAACACATTCTGGATGGAGCAAACACAAACATAATATATGTGTTCAAATAATATTTCATAATTCTCCCAAAAATGGTTTTTGTAAAACAAAATTCCATAAATTTCTGTGCAATCGAACACTCTATTTAAATTATAATAAAAGATTTTTTGTTGAAAGGGAAATTACCATATTTCATTATTTATCTAGACAATCAGCTATTGTTTTTAAGGAAACCGGCCAGTGCTGCCACCTAGTTCGCTTTACTGATTGAACAACCCTTCCAACAGTTCCAACAGTGGAACTGACATTTCGTATCAAAGTTATCTCAGGTATCGGGAACTGTAGGCTTTGTTTGTGCTTTGATTTATCAGTCAAATTCAAACTAATGCCAGCTTTCTATTAAAAATTACAAATTTGTGACAAAATTATCCGAATACAGCGTTCGTTGGATATATTTGATAGTCAGGACGACCACAACGTAAGTAGCCCACCGAAAATCTGACTCATACTAAAACCGACTCGATCTTTCACAGAAACTGCTAAGAGATATTGAAAATATAGCCCCAAGATGTCCGACCGCAAGGCAGTCATCAAAAATGCAGACATGAGCGAGGAGATGCAACAGGACTCTGTGGATTGCGCTACTCAGGCTCTAGAGAAGTACAACATCGAGAAGGACATCGCAGCCTATATCAAGAAGGAGTTCGACAAGAAGTACAATCCCACCTGGCATTGCATTGTCGGTCGCAATTTCGGCTCCTATGTGACCCATGAGACCCGTCACTTCATCTACTTCTACCTGGGACAGGTGGCCATATTGCTCTTCAAGAGCGGCTAGACCCAGTGGATCTCCTTGCACTATATCTGCGCACACACAGACAATTACGTATTTGTTATTATTGTAGCCTCACACACACACACACGCACACACACAAGGAACTCTGATTTGAAATGGCACACTGTTGACCGCGTCTTCCGACACTAACAAAACATATCAATCTATGGAGTGGCATAACGCTATATTGTCTATAGCCTCAATCCATCAATAACCTAAAAAGATTTAATTTCAATTCAATTTCAATAATTTAACTTACCGATTCACATAACTTTCGATTTGCATTAAATCAATTATATCAGCAAAGTTCAAATTGGTTTTTATGGAATATTTATGAATGCGATCGAGGGAACAGTACTTCCATGGCCTTATAGCCTGAGTTGTGTTTTTGTGCCCTGAACCAATTGACAATGGAAATGTGTTTTGTGAAAATGCATGTTATAGGCAAAGGAAGGCTAAGCAGATCCCATAAAGTAAATATATTCTTGGTCAGGGAGACGAGTTGAGTCAGGGATACGGTTGTAGTCATCTTTATGCATACACAGTATGCATAATCAATGAATCAATGTTACTTATTTTGGATCATATATATATAAAGATATATATATAAAGAAATAAAATTAAAGATCAAGTTATTCAACTTATTAAAAATCACAAGAGAATTGCATAAATAAGGAAATGTATTTGATATGTAAATTATGTATGAAGATTTTGCTGATATATATATTTATCATATCATCATAAATTATTCTGTATATATATTAAATAATGGGCATTAAAAATTGAGCTTTAAGTAAAACTTGTCTAATGGCACTTTAAAATCCGTTTATTTCATAATATAAACTATTGTTTTTTATACATTTACTTTGCTAAAATCATTGAGATAAATATAAAAAAGAATATATAAAGATAAATAAATATATTTATTGATAAGGCAACGAATATGCTTGAAAGAGGCGCAGACAAATTTCAAAAATGAGTCGATGGCAGCCACAAAATATTCAAATATAATTTTAAAAGGCTTTCAATCAACTAGGCTACGTTTCAAAACAAATAATGGATAGCTCCATTATTACATAAAAATAAAACAAGGAGGCAAAAATATATATTTTTTCAATTTTTATAGCAATAGAATTCATGATTAAAATTTCAATTGTCATGATATGCTATTGAAAACTTCAAATATCACAGTTTGAATGAAATAGTCTTATAGATCTAGACTTTCTCTGTTAATTATAGGTACAAAAATCGAAAGGCATTTCTTATATTTGCTCAAGCAGTGCATTGTTTTGGTCTGCACATAAGAGTTCTGTTCAGAATGGGTATTTTCTTGAATAATCAAAGCTTTCCATTTTATTCCACCTTAGGTCTACAGATAACTCTTGTGACTAGCAATTGCCAGTGTATCTGCCAGTCGAGCATGCTTCTCTATGTACTGCAATCAGCTGCTGGCAGCGAGCACTGATCAAGTTGAATTAAGCTTTGTGCATCGATGCACTGCAATGCTGTGCGCTTGGGTTTGTGTGTGTGTGTAAGTGTTAACACCTGGCCGTGGCAAATAAAAATGGCTTAATTAAGTTAATTAAAATATTGTTGCTGCTGGCCGACGCACGCTGTTTGCATTTATGTGCTTTTATTATCTGGCCGATTGGCAATTTGTTTTACTCTTTTTTTCAGACCTTTGCAGTTGCCCTCGAAAAGGATGTGGACGAGTGCATAATTATGCCCGGGCACGTACTAGGCCGCAGAATGCGAAAAGCAAAGACCCCAATGACAATACTATTAATAAAGTTGCTGGACCGAGCCAATGTGTGCGTGTGTGTAATTTTTTGTTTTAAATACTCGGGGCCAAACAGATGCAAATGTTGTCCTTTGAGCCGCTTTCACGGCTCGCCGACTTTTGGCCTGGACAGCTCGGCAGCTCGGCAGCTGGGCAGCTGAATGGGATATGCGAATGCAATTGAATTGCTGTCGAGTACGCAGGTACAGACAGCGTCTCATGCATATTTCATGCGTTCGAAATGCTTTCCATGCTTAACAAAATCCTTTGCGCCAATAAAAATTTAAGTGCCACGCACGCACATGGACTCGCAATCAGGTTTATGTGCTCAACCGTGCTTTATTAATATTTTTACGTTGTCAATTTATGGTAATTTTTTATGTTCTAACATTAAAACATATAGCAACAAAAGGAAGAGGCCAAAGCAACACTCAGGTGAAATCGTCATTTATTTAATGCCCTCCCTTCGCCGACCGCCTCTTGCTGGGAGACCCAACCAAATCTGTTTAGCTTCTGACCCAACTATGCAAACGCCTGTGTTCTTCTTCCGCCCAGTCTGAGGTGACTTGGCCAGCAGCTGTTTGGGCCAGCGCCACTTGGCATTAGCTCTTGTTGAGCTGAATGAGCAACAGAGCGACATTTGTTGAGTCTGCGCAGTTGGCAGCTGTGGTTCAGCGAGTAGCGAGTGACTGAAGAACTCGTTGGTCCAATACTCGAACATTTTTTTTGAATGGTCAAAAATTTTGAAATAAACATTTTAAAATTATCAACAAAGTTTTAATTTTTTTATATTTTAATTAAATTTGTTATTATATTCTTTCATACTTATTAAAATATTAAGTCATTTTAATTCATTACAGATTAGACATATTTTGAAAATATTATTTATATATATAAATATACAAAATAACTAAAAAAAATTATAATTTGAAAGTAAGAAATTATTTAGATATAAAATATTATTTAAGCCTTTTAAATTTAAATTCTATGATTAAACTTAATCAAAATAGGTAGTATTAAAAAATTCTTAAAGATTAATTTTTCAAAATATTTTAATATTTAATAATATGATATTTTATAAAGAAAATATTTCATTTAAATCTTTACAAATATTTTTAGCTCCATTTACTTTAGAAAACTTTCACATATAAGCTTAGCAATATCCTTTTAATTTTAATGAATTCTTAAATTATTTTATTTAAATTTTTTATATGCATTGCCAAGTAAATTTTTATATACATATTTCGAAATATTAATATATATATATAAATCTGAGTTAAGTTTCTAAAATAAAATAATTATGAAAATTATATAGAAAATTCTTGGTTTTCTTATTACTTGTAATTATATTTATATAAAATAATAAAATACCAATTTTTATAAATAAATTAAATTTAAATAATATTATAAAATAAAAAAATTTCTATATATTAAAGAAAAATAAAACTGATACTTGATGAATTGATTGAATTTTGAGTATATATATTTGTACATATATATTTATATTTTATATATAAATAAATTTCAACTGGAATTTTCTGTTTCTAATTGAACACATTTTATATTTTAACCAAATTAGAAAAATAGATGCCAAAAAAATTAGAAAATAAAGTTTGCAAATAAATGTAACCAGCAAAAGCTTTTTGTCAGTTAAACGAATGAAAAAGGAAGAGAAAAAGTAGCTGTTGATTAAAATTCAGCTAGAAATAAAACAAAAAGGAAAAACTTGATTTAAAGAGATATATTTGATGGGCCATTTGCCATGCTGCATTTCTCCATTTTCCATTTGCATATGGGAAATCGCATGCAATTCGACCAATTTCCCTGACCCACACAAAAGGAGCAACCGAAACTTTTGTTTTTGTTGTTGTTTTTTGTTTTTGGTCTTTTTGAGCTGTGTGCGGGTCAAACAAAATGCGAACTTTTATAAATTACAGTCAGCAGCACTGACCTCAATATAAAATTACACAACATGACTTGAATAAACACTCACACACACACACACGCACACATAGTCACACATACACTGTGCAAAAAGGGAAGAACAATTGCAAGTGCCATAGATACGAGCGTAATTGCATTTTACTTTGTTGCATTTGGTCAGGCAAAAAGCTAGAAAAGCCAAAGTCAAACAGCCAACCACATATGTACGCACACACACATACACACGCACACACACACATACACACGCACACACACACATGTGCTCACACATGTGTCAACTTTTTGCCTTTTGCTGCTGCCGCTGCTCCTATTATTATTATTATTTTTGTTGTTGTTAATTTGTAACTGTAGCAAACAACAAAAGCCAAGCGGGTCGCAAAAGTGGGCGTGACACTAGAGCAGGCGCGGGCTATGGGGCGTGTGGCAAAGTCAACACTGTGAGCAGTTTTATCAGTCAGCGCGGCACAGATGCAGCTGCAGCAACAGTCGACTCTGACAATGACAAAAAAAGAAGAAAATACTTAATGAAACATAAACAAGACACAGGCTGAGGGCACAAACCAAACCAGAAAGCAACAGCAACAACAACAAAACAATAATAGAAACCACAACAAAAAACACACAAGCAAAGAAAAAAAATCTTAAAAAAAATTGTAATAATCTAAACAAGAAAATTTCTCATTTGTTGCGCAATTTAACATAAATCTAAAAGGAGACAAATATTAATTGAGAACGAAATGTAAACACTCTACTTTTTTAAGTAAGCTTTAAGATAATTTTTATAGTGGAAAACAAGTTTTTCAGGTCTTATTAAGAAAATTAAAAGACGCAACCACTCTGATACGGAACCATAAAAGGAAGCTGAAGCCAGGCGATGAATGGGAACGAAATTCCAGCTGAGTCAAAACTATATTTAAATTAATTTCTGCTATATACAAATTATTTTAATTTTTTTAAATATATTAGATTAAGATTTTAATATTTTAATAAAGTTTTCTGTGCCAAATTATTAATTTCAAAATAAATTCATGGTAAAATTTTAATGTCTAACTGTAAATATAATATGATTATTTTATATTTAAATATATTTATATTCAAAAATATTTTAAGCTTATTTATTTAATTTTTCATTATCTTAAAAAAATGCTTTTTGAAAAATTGTTATTAAAGGATATAATTCTTTTTATCTCAACTCAAAATCTTTTTACTCAAAAAAAAAAAAAAAAAAAACAGATTTCAAAATATTTTTTTATCGTGCTTTAAAATGCCAATTCCGAATGATAAAAAAATTATATATATATATTAATATTATTAATATGACAGAAAATATATCGTCTATATTATATTTGAGTTGATACACACAAAATGAAAGGTTATATTAGATAAAGCTATTAAAAGAAGTTCTGATGAAATGATTTGTTGTGAAAATGTATATAATTAAATTGGAGATTAGCTCTTTTCTTATATAAGCAACTGTCCAATATAAATATTATGTTAATATATAATTCAATTAAATTAGAACTGTCATTCATATTTTACAGCCATAAAAAATGTTAGGGTAACCCATGCCAATGTCATGCCATGTTCATTTGGAAATGCACTAGATTATCGCACACATAAAGAATAATAATCGCCTGACAGAGCGAGCCCTGACAGGCAGACAGAGGATTTTCTTTTGGAGCCTGCTCAACAGAGTCGGAAACTTGCACTACCTCACTTTTGGGCGTGATAAATGGAGCCAAGTGCTGGGACCCAAACCACCCAAAGCCGCAAGCCCAACATGAAAAGAGAGTGGAGTCGAGCGGGCGTCAATTTTTCATTTGATATCCTTCACTACATATAAGAATCTGTCTTGTGTGAATTTTGGAATATCTTTCTCTTAGCCAGTTCTCTCCCTCTATCTGTCCCTTTATTGTTACTAACCATTGTCAGTGTTGCCTTGTCTTGACTCCGACTCGGACTCGGATTCGGATTCGGTTTTGGTTTTGGTTTTAGTTTTGTCTGTCAACTTTACTTTTCATGTCTCGCTTTAAACAATTGTCCACTGCTCCATTGTTGATTCTTAGCTTTAGATTTGTTAAGGGGCATATCAACTTTGTTTGCTTATAGTGCTCCAGTTTCCACTCAATGAAATAGAGATTGATGATGCGCTCTCAAAATTCGCATTTCAAATGATATATCTATTATGTAGTACAGCTCTGACAGGGTATTTAGATATCGGGCTACGGGCTGCGGCCATCTGTGTGTGTTTTGGTCATGTTTTTGTTACTTTTTACATTTTGGTTTGTTTTATTGTTTCTTTTGATAAATTGTGCGCCTTTCGTTTTGACACATGTCAGCGTTTGTCTGCCCATTGTGCAAACACTCGTAATATAGAAGCTGTGCCTTTGATTGTCTAGGCTGGTATTCAGAGGTTAACGCTCCTTTTGATTCCGAGAGAAAAGAAAATTTTAAAGCTTGCTGAAGGTCTATGAGTAGAATGAAAATAGAGACAATTATGTGCTCATAAATGTTTAATATGAAGACCAATTGATTTAAGAAGAATATCTGATAATTAAAAGGTATTTAAAATTAGTGAATATATTATAACGGGTTGAAACTGAGTTGTTTGTTAGAAGAAAAGCTAGATATTCTGATAGACTTTAGAGCAAAATAAAACAATGGAGCTGGTTTGGAGCTAAGAAATGTTGGAGCATATATTTTTTTAAATTGCTGTTCTTATTTGCAATCTGTCTTATACTAGACAATAAACAAATTTTTTAAAAGTAATATTACATAACCGGATGGCTTGGTCTTCAATGAGATCAATCCATATATTTACATACTTTAGATATTTGCCTATTTCTGTGGGGCAGGTCTAGACAGAACGAGACCTCCACTGTAGTAAACTGTAGAGAAATACTAGAAAAAGACAAATATAAAGAGACAAGAAGAGTGTCGGGAAGAATTAAAAGAAGAACGAGAGGTAGAAACATGTAAAAACAAAGAGATAGAGGGAAGAGTAGAGAGAGACAGAGAGAGATATTAGAGAATGGTAGATGATGAGCTATTAGATTTTCAAAGATATCTTTATACACAGAATTAATAAACATTTGATGTCTGAATGCATCATATGTCTAAGCACAGTTCAGTCAAATAAATAAGCGAAGAAACGCTAGATCAGATATAAGCAGCAATAAAAGAAATAAACAAAGGTTTAGTTCATAAGCTTCACACTCAATTAGCAAAGCCTTGTATATGCATAAACAGAAAAGCCACCAGAAAGCTACAACAAAATGTTTTAATAGAAATTTATGAAAGCAAAAATATTAGTTTGGCATAAATTTGAAATAGTTTCTATGTGCACACAGCGCTATAGTTGCCAGTTGCAATGTTTGGTTTGTCAGATATGTTTGCATTTGATAGAACATCGAGGCATAACGATCTGGCACAACAGTTGGGTGAATGCAGTCAACTATTTGCTGTCAGTGCGCTGCTTGTCACTTCAACTGACATCAGTGGGTGCACTAGGCCAGGAGTAGCAGCTCCTGTACAGGACACACGGGCACATGTCCTGTCAGCTGCCAGCAACTGCCTGCCTCGCTGGCTAGCTGGCTGGTTGGCCTGATGTCTCCCTGTCACGGGGGCATGTCAGCGTCAGTTTATGCGCCTGACAGCGTCAACAATTTTATTTACTTAATTTGGCTTTAGTTTGTCATTTATTTACTTGTTGGCCACAACTGCCCTAGAGTCTCTCTCTCTCTCTATTCCTCTGCCTCTCTCCCCCGCCCTGTTCGTCTATGTCTCTCAGTGACACGCCTAACGCCATCTCATCTCAGTTGCTCATGTGCGTCTCCGAATGTCTGTTGTTGTCACTTTGACGCTTGACGTTGTTTTACTTGCTGTTTGTCGCATTTGTGCCTTTGTTTACTCTAACGCGGGGTAGCTCCGGCTATGGCAGGCTGTTTACATAGCAATTGCCATTGAATGCAAGAAGAATCTTTGGTAATTTCACATGTATGGCATAGCTGACTCTTAGTGCTTTTAATATCATTATTTTATGTTTCTATTTGTTTCTCTTTCTTTCTCTCTCTAATTCTCTAGAAAAACTTAATTTTTCATTTCTTCTTTCCTTTATTTCAATTCAAGCTCTTTGTCCGCACTAGATTTTTATGCTACTGATCGAACCTTCAAATTTTATTGCTTAACTGAAAGAGTTTATGATTCTAATCTATTCTTATAATTCTTAAAATACATTGGCGTTGCAAGTTTTTTATGTTAAAAATTTCCTATTATTTTTTTTATGATAAATTTCAGCTTTTTTAAACTATTTAGGGTCATCATTTTATCATAGAATTTCTAGTTTTAAAAATTTTATAAATAATAAATAATTTTTTGGACTTTTTAATTTTTTTTAAATTATCAAATACCGAATTTTTCGTTATTTAAATTTTGTAAATTATTAAAATATAAATTGATATTCTTAAGAGTATTTGAACTTCATCTAGGTCTTTTTGCTCCCTTTGTTACATTTTTTATTATTTATTTATTTTTTTATATTTTGATTTCGTGAACTGTGACACATTCTGTTGCCCGCACTTCAGTGCATAATGTTGGCATTGTTGTTGCTCATTTCTTGGCGCTGGCACGCGCTGCTGAATTGTTTATGAAAATTTAGAACTCGCGTTTGCTTTTGCTTTTGCTTTTGCTTTAGCAACACTTGCGCGCGCTTTAATTAAATATTTATTTCCATCACTTGATCCAAATGGAAATACGTTCAGGTGGTATCAGCTAAATCAGAGCTGAGCGAGAGGGAGTGAGTGGGAGAGAGAGGCTGCACTAACATTTGTCATTACACATTAATAGCGCACCATTAATCTTTTCGTGAGCTGTTGGCCAAATGAATGCTGCTACCAAGGGCCAAGTCCCCGTTAATTAATGTATGCCATTTAGCCGGAAAATTGCAGGGGTGCACACTCACACACTCGCACACACACACTCATGAGCTCTGTCTGTGTGTGCAGGCCCATCATAATGAGCGCCAATTTAGTGTCCCTGTGTGTGTGTGTCTCGTTGTCGCCACCGCAAACAAGCAAAGGCCAAAGCCACAGCCAACCCCCACACCCTGTCACTCCCCTTCTCCCTTATAGTGCTGCTGTCCCGTTCGCTCTGCCCAGCAGGTATGCTTGATTAATGCTTTATAACAGGACACAGAACACACAAACAAAACAAGGATATTGCCGACTGTATGGCTGCTGACCCCGCGCAGCTGACGCCCATTCGAACTGTTAGTCCCACCTCCTACCCTCCCACCACGCTCTGCGTTCATTCGACCTGCTTTATCCGCCTGGGTCCTTGCATTTTAACATTAATTTAGTGGAATGCGGCAAAGGACTATGAAAGCTTTTCAGCGTCGTCGTCGACACATGTTAATCCCGTCGTTGTCGCTACCACAACCACTACCACTACCACTACCATTGCCACTCTCCCATTCACATTCACATCCACATTCGCATTCGCATTTACATTCATTTAGGCTCACTCCTCGAGTAGTCTATACATTACACATACGCATTTTGTATGCCCAAATTGGAACAGATTAATTTTTGAGAGCATATTGTAAACTAAATGCCAAAAGGCATCCACGGCAATTAATGGGCAGAAACCCTGATTAAACTAAAACTTTAATTGGACATTTAGTCTTATTATGTGGCAATTGAATAAGTTGAAATAACATTGAAGAAGTTTGAGCTGAGCTACGATAACTTTATAAACTTATATAAGCTCTGCAGAATGTGAGAAGCTCTTAGAGCAGGCCAAAGAAAATAAATTTTATAATTAGCTTTTCACACATTTATTAAGTATTCATTTATATCAAAGCGCTTCTCAATTAGCATGAGAGAGAAATTTGATAACATCTCCATCTTCATTGAACTCGTCTTTATTTATACTCTTTGAAAAGGGCTATATAAATCGTATATTGATCATCATACCAGCTCTACACATGGGTCAGGGTATTTCTTAGTCAATCACTGCCCACAAAAGTAATGTAAACATATCTGCTTGTTTTTTTTTCTAATAAATACATTAAATATGTTCAACTGTCATTTGGAGATCAGCAAATTTTGAATATTTTGTTAAATGTTTCATAACTCATAGCGGAGTTTTCCAAATTTTGGTTTGCTTTGGCAGCTGTTTTGCTATATCATATTGTGGCCCTCTTTAGGTTGCTCCACTTTTAAATTGTACAGAAGTATTTTGTTTCGGACCATTCCCATGTGTGAGCCAAAGAGTAGAATAAAGGCAACGCCTCCTCGTTGCTTGCGCTGCTGCCCGCCCTGTTGCAATCCCTGCCTCTGCTGCCCGCCCGAATGCTGCAAGCCATGCACCGCCTACTGCATATTCGACTTGGAGAGTGCAGTGTTTGGTAGGTGAGCTCGCAATGAAGTGGCATACATCGTTGTGCAGATTGCTCTATCTCCTTTAGATACTCGACAAATCTATCAACGCGCTTGCCGTGAGCTCCTGGCCAGCTATAATAAGACTTTGCCGGAAGAGCTGATCTTGCGCAGCGCTCCCATGGAGACGCAGGAGATGGCTGAGCTGATCTGCCGCAAGTGCAAGCTGCCCATAGCCTGGGAGAACTTCCTGATCCAACTGAACGAGCACACGTGCGAGCTAATTGGCAATCCGCCGATGATGGAAGGCGTGGAGCGGCTCGTCACCCATCTGCATGAAAATTGCATTGGCCTGGGTCTGATCACGGGCAGCAGCAGAGAGATCTGCAAGAAAATACGTGGAAGAGAAGAGTTCTTCGGCCTGTTCGATCTGGTGCTGTGCGCCGATGAATATAATAGGCCCAAGCCGGAGCCGGATTGCTATTTGATAGCTATGCGTCGGCTATGTGATCCGCCCTGCGCCGAGTGCTGTTTGGCCTTCGATGGCACCACCAAAGGTGTGCAGGCGGCTAAAGAGGCACGCTTGAAGGTCATTATGCTGCCCGAACCGGAGCTGCCTTGCTGCTGGTCAGAGCTGGCAACGCAACGGCTCGAATCTTTGATCGAATTCAATCCCGAGGAGTTTGGTATGCCCTACCTGGAGCCGCTGCCCGAACCACCGCCACCTGTGACACCTGAATATAGCGAGCCTGACCACATGGAGTACTCCGACGCCATCGCCAACGCACAGGATGATGAGGAGGCAGCTGAGGACAACGAGGAGCCACCCGTCGATTAGATATATGTATATATATATACACTATAGACTATAAATACATATGTGTACATATATAAATTATATGGTTTCCAGTCCTGTGGTGACTGAAAGTTAGGTTGAGAGGCGACTGTGCCTCTTATTGCTGGCCTCGGGCTCAGACAATGAAATAAGCCATTTAACGAGCAAATGACGGAGTGAATATTTATTTAAGCGGTTTACTGGAAGAACGCTTTTTAACCCTGCTTTTAATTGTTCTTTTTTGAATAATCGAAACAGTTAATTTTATTGGTTTTTCTTATTATATTCACTATTTTTAGTTTTACTTATATGACACCAATTTTTAGCATGTCCTATCAGTACGAGTTAAAACACGAGACTGATCTATATTTTTACAAATCATAGCCTCACCGGCGTAAGTAGAGTTGCTCTTGCCAGGGCTGTTCCTTAACTTGTCTAGCACCCGATAATAAGTGTTGAATAATACCTTATATTAAGTGTTATAAGCTAACTAAGTGTTATAAGTTAACTACCCCCCCCTCAAGTGTAAGGTCGTCCTCGACCGACCCAATTCCAGCGACGACTCCTCGCAAGTGCTTCGCGGACTTCTTTGCGTCGATGATCCACCAAAGAGTGAGGCCAATGCAGATTAAAGCACAGCATATGGCTCCTCTTTCGGAGTGCCGTACAACGACACATCATCAAAGTGCACCATTTCGGTTCCTTGGTCGCATATTAGCAGCGGTGACCAGCGAGTCGGTGCAGGTGTTCTCGAATGAAATCCGCAAGTCGTTCTCATTCACATTCAATACGGAGCAGTATGAGCAGCGTACTGATTCTTCGCTATCGCCGTTCAGCAGGCGCTTACTAAGCTTGCTCTTGCGCCTACGTATGTGGCGTCTGTTGAAGCTGTTGGTGCCCGACGTGGACGTGAGCCTTGGCATCGGATGATGCACACCAAAGTTGTGCAGCTGCAGCGACTTGAGTGTGGCTGGCGCCGTCGATGACTGGCCGTGCACGTGCCCGTGATGGCCGTGATGACTGTGTCCCACCACTCCAGCGATGCTATGAGCCGTTACTGGACGAGTGATGTGTGTAGTCTGTCGGCGCGCTCAGCTGGCGATTGAATTCGGCCTTGCGGCGCGTCAAGTCCGTCAGGCAGTATTTGTTCAGATGGCCGTTGCTGGAGACAGGGCTCTTGGGCGATGATGCCAGATGCTGCGTATAGGCCGAAGGAGTTGCTGCTCACGCTTAGCTTATTGCCGGCGTTGTGCAGCAGATTGTTACAGTTCTTGCCGCTGATCTTGGCTGCCAGCGACTGCGACACCGGCCGACTTTTTGCTAGGCGCCCTGTACTCCTTGTCGTCGCTCTCGCTGCGCACCGATGCTCGATACGCAGGAAATGTCTTCGTCTTGCTCTTCAGCGAGCCGTTCAGCAGTAGCTGCTGTTGCCGTGCGGCAACTGCCGACAATGCCGGCCGCTGCAGTTGACGTGACGCCGCTGCCGATGAGGATGAGGATGAGCCGGCAGCTGTGGAAGGTGCCGACAGAGATGGACAGCGGTTGGAGCAACCTGTGGCTGTGAAACTTCTTGAATTAATGCAGTTGGCGGTGTTTTGGGGATTTCTTGACTTGGTTCTAGTATGGATGAAGAGTCGCTTGGCTCTGCCGCCGCGAAGAACTCGTTAGTTGTTGCTTCTACTGTTGGTGGTGGTGCCGTGAACAAGGGGATTTCCTCAACGATTCCGCTTGTAGATTTGCCTGCTGTGGTTCTGGCTTAGCATCCAACTGTGGTGCGAATAGAGCTGTTGCTGGTCCTTGTGAAAATATGGGCAAACTCTGTGATGTTGGGAATAATGGAACTTCCGAAACAGGTGCAGTTGACGGTGGTGCAAATAGTGTAACCTCCTGATTTTGATTTGAAGAGCTCTTTAGCTCTTCCCTCTGAGTCGGTGACTTAAAAAGGTTGTTGCTTGTATCTGGTGTAAGTCCTTGTGTTGCGTTAGTCGGACTGGAAAAGAGAGGAACCTCCTGAAGTGTATCGGATAGTGCTGGTGCAAAAAGCGATGTAGTTGCTTCGTGAGTCTGAAAGAGGCCCGTCGATGCCTGTGGTGTAAACAGCGATGTTGCTGGCCCAGTTGGGGGTGGTGCAGCCGCAACAGAGGAACTTCCTGGCTTGGCGCTGGTGCAGCTGACGGAGCTGGCGCTGTAAATAGGGCAACTTCTGTAGGCTGTGCTCCAAAAGGATTAAAAATAGCAGCAGGTGCTGCGAAGGGTGCAAAGGGCGTGGCTGTTAAAGCTGTTTGCTGGCCAAAGCCTGTTGCGGGCACTGCAGTTTCCTGAGCTGTCAGTGGACTCTTGTAGAGTCTGGTACCCTTCTGCAGGCGGTACGAGGAGTGTGCAGGTCCTGCCGCTGGTGGTGGTGCTGCTACTGCCGCTGGTGGGGGAGTTGCTGCAGCCACTGATGGCGGTGCAAACGTTGGAGTACTCTCGATTAAACCAGGTGCTTGAGCAGCTGTCAGTGGCTGAGGGACAGTGGCTACTTGGGTGACTGTCGGAATCTGAGCGTATGTCGCTGGCGGAGCAGTTGCCCCAGGCTGAGTAAATGTCGGTGGTACCGCGGCTGGCGTTGGCTGAACACCGGTTGATTGCCCAGAAACAGCTGGTGCTGGCGTAAAGAAGTTACCAACAGACGGAGCTGCAGCAACTACGGAAGGATTGATGTAACCACCTACAGTGGGTGGTGCTACAGTGGGCGAAAAATAATCAGCAGCAGCAGGCGGAGCTGCAGGCGTAAAAAAGTTTGCAGGCGGCTGCGGTACGGCAGCGCCGGATGTGCTTATGTCAAAGTAGCCACCAGAATCAGCTGGATTGTAGCTGGCTGGTGGGGGTGGCGCAGGTTCGTTGGTTCTGCCTGTGGCCGATTGCACTAGACCCGAAATATTCTGTAACACGCCAGTGGGCACTAGACTAGTGAGTGAGAAGAGACCACCGCTCTTGCGTTCCTCTTGAACGGCTGGTGGTGCAGGCTGCTCGAATGCTGCTGCTGCCGCCGCTGCCGATGGCTGTGTGGGATATGGCGGTGCTTGGAAGGGATCAACAGCTGGCACTGGCTGCTGTTGCTGCTCGGAGAGACCTGGTATGGGTGCGTATAGCTTCTTTCTGGCACTAATGCGATAAGTGTTCTGTCCGGCCCCACGTTGGGCGCCAATTATATGATTTCCAGTCCTGTGGTGACTGAAAGTTAGGTTGAGAGGCGACTGTGCCTCTTATTGCTGGCCTCGGGCTCAGACAATGAAATAAGCCATTTAACGAGCAAATGACGGAGTGAATATTTATTTAAGCGGTTTACTGGAAGAACGCTTTTTAACCCTGCTTTTAATTGTTCTTTTTTGAATAATCGAAACAGTTAATTTTATTGGTTTTTCTTATTATATTCACTATTTTTAGTTTTACTTATATGACACCAATTTTTAGCATGTCCTATCAGTACGAGTTAAAACACGAGACTGATCTATATTTTTACAAATCATAGCCTCACCGGCGTAAGTAGAGTTGCTCTTGCCAGGGCTGTTCCTTAACTTGTCTAGCACCCGATAATAAGTGTTGAATAATACCTTATATTAAGTGTTATAAGCTAACTAAGTGTTATAAGTTAACTTATACACTATAGACTATAAATACATATGTGTACATTTGTATATATATATAAAAAGAATGTTTTATAGACTTTTAGCGAAAAGTAGAATGAAGTTTATAACAATTTAACCAATAAGAAAAATACTTAGTAGTTAAGTTTCTTAAGACGGAATTCGCAAAATTTATAGAAGCTATGAGGAATTGCAGAAAGAACTAGTAATATTTATTAATATTATCAATTATTAATAATAATAAAATTATTACTATCAAAATAATTTCTTTTGTATTTATGCGCGGGGCACTCACTGCGGCCTATAAATAAATTTTTTATTTGAACAATTATTGAGCTTGAATAAAGTCTATTGGTTTGTTTTATTTTTTGAAAATATGATAACAATTTATATGTTAATATTATTTATTAATTTGTATTATGTTTTATTGTACTATTTTATTTTATTATCAAATATATTTGTGGAAAACTTATTTAAAATATTTTTTACTTTATTCATTTTATTTTCTTAAATATTATTATTTAATTTTTTTAATAAAAATTTAAGTTTTAATCAGCCATTGCTATTAAAATATAAAACTTATTTAGTAAAATTGCTGATAAGCCAAGTACTAAAAAGCACAATTAGCTAGTTAATATAACACTTGCTTCAAATGCTGTAGCTAAAATAATTATTATTCAACATCATTAGCTAGTTAAGGCACCTTCAGACTTCTTAGCATTATTTTAAGCAAGTGTCTACTCAACACTTGCTGACAGCTTCGTCTTTTGCCTGAACTTGAGCTTTAAACACAGGATAATTTCAAAACGATAAATCAAAATTAATTGCTTAGGCAAATATAATATTTTAACGAGTGTCCGACTGTCTGGCCGACTGTCTGTCTGCCAAAAGTCAATTGTTGACAATTTAATTATTCAGCATATTACGCATACGCCATGTGTGTGTGGAGCTCGAGCTCGAGTGGTGTGCAGCAGCAGCTGTAGCACAAGTTGCGACTAGCAACTTTTGCCTTTGCAACAACAACTCTGTCGCAACTTATAATTACTTAATGTTCTAACCAGACTGTCGAACAGCTGCCAGCCCAGTCGCCTCCGGCTTCAGCTGCAGCTGCAGCTCAATCTCAAGTTCTCTGTCTCTGTGCCTCGCATAAAAGTAAAGTGAATAAACCTTTTAACAACTGCGACGACGATGGCGGTGGCGACTTTGCTTTTTATTCTCGAATCATTATTTTTTTAGCATTTGCGCCCCACTTCCGCTTTTGCCTAATGAACGAGCGCGCCACAGGAAGCACTCAAGGGCAGCTAAAGAAAGGAGTAAAAAATATGATAAAATAAAGCTAAAAGTCCAAGTTTTTCATATCGTCATTTACTTAAAGTTTGCGGCATTGCAAATTTACCAATTGAAAGGGATTCAAATCAAATAATTTTAATAAGATAGCAAGAGTCACAGACATTATCTCGGTTAAGTAAAAGAAATCGCATTTAGAATTACCGAAAATTTATCGTTTAAAATTAAAACTAAGAGGCTTTTGGGAGCTAAAATAAAATTCTTAAAAAATTTAGAAAAAAGGGCCAAGCGCTAGCCGAACGTAAACTTCTCGACATTATCAAAGGCGGGCAGACCGAATAGTTCAGGCTGGAAGTCGGCCATGGATCTAAGCACCAGTGTGGCACCTTTTGTATCAGCGATCGGCAGACGTGCATCTGGTATCAGTACCACCTGCATGCCCGCTGCTACGCCGGCATCTTTGCCCTGCGCCGAGTCCTCGAATACGAGACAGCATTCGGGCAACGGTGCTGGCTTGAAGCGCGCCGCTGCCAGCAGAAAGATATCCGGACTCGGCTTGCAGGCCTTCAGCTCTGGATCATCTCCGCAGACGATGTGGCGAAAGACGGGTAACAGTTGGCAGTGCGGTAGAGCCTTTATGTTGAAAGTGTCGCGATAGGTCGCAGTTGCCATTGCCATTGGCACACGGTGCTCGAACAGATGCAGCAGCAGATCCTTAACACCGGGCAACAACTTGACGTCCGTTATCAAGGCATGCAGCTCGGCACGAAACTTTGCCAAATACTCCTGCGGCGTTATGGGCAAGTTCAATATCCTTACCATATTCGCACTAGCCACAGCAGCCGATAGTCCCATTTGCTGCTTTTTCAATTCAAACGTGTATTTCTTGCCATAGGGCGTCAGCACATTCTGTATCGCATTCGTATAAATGTTTTCCGTATCTGAAAAGCTCAGTTACTGCGGGGAGAGAGGAGCAACTCTATAGGGCTTACCCATGATGGTGCCATCATTGTCAAATATGCAGTGCGTCACTCGCTTAAAGCATTTGGCCTCACTCGATGACATTTGCCACTTCTGCTATTTACGTGCTGTCTTGGCCTAAAACATATTCCAAAAAATGTGACATAGAATTTATTTATTGGATTAATTTATTGTCTCATTTTAAATCGGAAAACTGGGATATTTTGTCAGTTTGCCATTTATTACTTTAGTGTCGAGAACTTTTTATTCTTTGAGTCGATTTATGATGGCTATGAAAAGGTTTAGAACTACATAATGGTTAAGCACATTTTTGGTTGAAAAGCTGTGAAAACAAATGGGAACTTGGAGTGAGGATATTTGAAAAGGATATTTGAAATTTTTGATGAAATTCCATGACATCCACAGGAAGTTACTATTTGATGCGTTTTATGGGCTGCCAATATATCTGGCATGATTAAAATTATATTTAAACACTAATGTCATTAAATTTTCTGTGTAATAGAGTTTGTTTCATTGACTTTAAAATATATATTTATTCACTTAGTTATGTTGTGAACCTATTTAACTCTAAAATAAACACACTGCATTTGTAATATATCTCAATAGTCACTTACCTAACTTGATCTGTTTTTCGGATGATCCATTGATCCGCCTAATAGCCCCTAATGATATCTGCTTCATGCCTGAAGAAACTCTTCAAGTCCTTAAGCAGCTCGCCTTGGAGGTAATATCTCATAAATTTGGTTCATTAATGTACCTTATTTGTTTATATATAATATAATATTTAAAAAAAAAAAAATTAAGAACCTCAAACTCCACTTCTTTCATATTAAAATAAATTCTATAACATAAAATAAATCCCAACACTTTTTCTAATCACTTAGTGTAATGCCAGTGGAACTCGTTTGCTCCCTTGCCAACTGCTGTTGAAAGATCACGTTAATTTCATTAGGCAACGTAAGTTGGAAATGTTGAAAAGAAAATGCTTCACATGCATTTTAATTAAACTATTTGCGACTTGCAACTTCAAATAGTTTGCCAAGTTGCAAGTTGCTGGCGCAGCTGTGGCAAGTGGTAGGTGCTTGCTGCAGCTGTCAATTTGGCTGCCTTTTTATGCCCTTAGCCTTAGCCTTAGCCTAAGCTTGAGGCTATGGCCTTTGCTCAGCGCGGGCAAGTGGGCGGGCTCAGTTCGGCTGTCAGCTGCAGCCTGTCGCATGTTGTTGCAAAGTTGCGTAATTGATTAAGCAGTTGCCAGGCGTGTGCCACCAGACGCTGTGGCAGCGACAAACTTCGTCATAGACAGCACGTGCCGCACGTTGAAAGCCGTTATTCGGAGTCAAGCAGCACGAGCCGCGCGACATGTGGCAGCAACGTGGCTCCCAATTCCCAAAACTATGAAATTCCCAATGCAAACTGAACTTTTATTAGTTATATCGGTGCAAGGAAAATGTACATATATATGTGGAATATATGTGGAATCTAAATCAATATTCATATTATCCATAAATATGTCTATATAAAATATATATATATATATATTTATATATATATGTCTATATAACAGACAACTTTAAAGTGATGCAACTAGTACATCCTTTGTAGAATCAATATGCTCTGTCTAATATATATAATCTATATAGAGTACTCTATAGAAAGTATATATACTCTCGATACGCTATATACTCTATATCATCTCTACCCTCTTTACCCTCTCTTAACTCTATATGCTTTATATAATCTCTATATCCTTTATCATATATTCTTTCTATACGCTGTATACTCCATATACTCTATATACCCTATATAATCTATATACTCTATATACTCTATATACTCTATATACTCTATATACTCTATATACTCTATATACTCTATATACTCTATATACCCTATATACTCTATATACTCTATATACTCTATATACTCTATATACTCTATATACTCTATATACTCTATATACTCTTTATACTCTATATAATCTATATACTCTATATACTCTATATACTCTATATACTCTATATACTCTATATACTCTATATACTCTATATACTCTATATACCCTATATACTCTATATACTCTATATACTCTATATACTCTATATACTCTATATACTCTATATACTCTATATACTCTTTATACTTTCTAAACTTTCTATACTCTATATACTGCCTCTCCTCTATGTACTCTACATACTCCATAGGCTACATGGACTCTACAAACACTCTACATTCTCTACTCTACTATTTGATTATATTTGCCTTCATCTGGCAACTATAATCACTTAGCCTACAATCTGTTCCATCACTTACAATTACAGGGTATTTTGGCATAAATATTTGTTGGCTAAAGGGCTAACCGCAAAATAATTTGAACGTATTTTGGTCAAAACACGCGGCCAAAAACCGCAGTGAAGTGCAAGCAGCAAGCAGCAAGCAGCAAAAAGCAGCGCCGCGTAGTCAATAAAATGGCTTTAATTAATCGGAAGCGCTGCGTCAGCTGTTGCCGCAAAAATAAAAACAAAAGGCCGGCAAATGGGTGGCAGACATTGGGGCATTTGGATGCGGCGACGAATTGTGCGCATAAATTATGCAGCCAACCATTTGGGCAACGCTTTTTGGGCCTGTGGCTGGGGATGGCCGTAAACGGCCGACTGGCCAGCAACAATATGTTGTAAACGTTTAATTTGAGCGCGTCTCTAATCGGTGTCCCGGCAACGTGCAACGTGCAACGAGTGTGTGTGTGTGGCAGCCGTCCAGTGAGGTCGCTTGGCTGCTTGGTCGCATGTAATTGCGTTCATTGAATTGTTAACTGGATTCGTTGTCTACGGCTAGCCGTTGGCCGCTGGCCGCTGGCCGCTGGCCACAACCGCAACTTGCAGCGGGAAAACGGCTAAAAGCCGTTGTTATCCTTGTGGTTACTGCGGCTATCCTCTAGCTGTGTGTGTCCCCAGGTGTAGGTGTGTGTCTGTGTGGGTGTCCCTTGAGTTGATTCGGCTTTGGTTGCAGCAAAATCCCGGTCAATGCACATCAAACTTTTGGCTCGCTCTGCATTTGGCATTTATTGGTATTGTTCCAATTAAAGTTCGACTAGTCTCCTCCATAAAATATGCAGACACGTAAAAGTTCGATTCGATTTGGCTGCCACAGGACATTAATGCTTAACGGTCAATGGTTTTGACTGCAGCAAGCCCGACCATTCATTCAGCGTGGACACTGTGCCAATAAAAGCTAATAAAACTCAAAGAACAGCATTGCCAGCATCGCTCCACTGCAGTTGCAAGAGGTGAAACGAAATGGAAAATATTTGCTTTCGAGGGAATTGAACTCGCTTACATAGGCATTCGATGGAGTAGTTCAAATTGAGTACTTGGCTTGATTTTCGTAAGGCTACTTTATGAAAAGGAGTTCAGATTAGGAACAGAACTTGTCGTCAGTTTCTACATAAGTTTTGTGTGTGGCAACAGAGAGTAGGTTTTACTATAAGCTAGACAAGTTCTTGACATAGTTTAAGGCATATCTAAGATTGTGGTTATTCGGAATACAGCGAGCCATCTTAGCTTATTTGTGAACCTATATTGCTCTACAATTCCTTTGTTATCAATTTTCTTATTAACTAAAATAAAATATATAGCTATTATAATTTGTTTACTTAGTATTTCTTTACAATTTTCAACTACTAAATACTTCAGCATCTTCTGTGGCCATAATGAGATAACTTGAGCATTGTAACGCCATTTTATAAAATATTCAAGTAATGTAAGAAATTGCATTACATTTTAACTTAAAATATTGAAGTATATTTAGTGCTCATAGTATGTTTGCTAATAGCCCTAGCCCTTGGATTGGACCTGACTCTGCCTTTTCTATATTTGTTTTTGCTTTTGTCATAAACATCATTAGCTATGACTCATAAAATTTTCCCTACAGCTTCCCTCTATATTCTTAGCTTAGCTCTACCTTCTTAGCTTTCTTCTACCACCTAAACTTTCCTCAACATCCTTAGCTTCCCTCTACCACCTTAACTCATCTCTATATTCTTATCTGCCCACCATATCTCTTAAGCTAAAATTTGCATAAGTTTACTCCCAGCATTGCCTTTAACTTATCCATTCCTAACTTAAGGTTAAGTTTTTGTCTATAGTCTCATTTGCTTCCCTCTTCGCATTCTGCCATATAATAAATGAAATTTTTCTCCCAGTGCGTTTTACCTATCATTTCTATTGGCGTCATTGGCTTAGACTCCTAAAAACATTCTTATTGTACTCTGGCCAGTTGCCCTATTTATCTTCTAGACTTCGATTCATACAAGATCTCTGAGCATAAGGCTACTCCCTGCATTCACTTCACTTTCTGTGTTCAGATTCAGTCTAGTGATTAGCGGAAAGTCTTTGTTGTGCTCTCTCTAGCTTCTCTATTCATATCAGAGTTTCACTCTCTATTTTGGTTAGCTTTTGCCATTATCAGCTGGCCCTCTTGCTACAGTCTCTCGTATCACTTTCCGTGTCTTGATACCCTTTCAAATTTCTCTTTCCTCTACAAATTTCCTTCTTATCTGCTGCACATCTAATTTTCAGCTTAGCGACTCAATATTTTCTTATATATAAATATCTTTATCTACATCTATATATGCAGTTATTGTCTAATAAAACTGTTCACATATGGCATTTGATCCATGTCATAAGAGCACCCTCATTTGACTTTAGCTCCAGGCAGCACGCACATTGAATGCTGAGTGTTTTTTGCACTCAATAAATATTGTCTGACCGCAGACTATCTATCGCTCATCGAGGTCTCAGATGTCGGCCGGCCGGCCAGCCAGTCGCAGTCACATATCCTTGGCAAGGCATCACGCACAGCCGAGCAGATGAGTATAGAGCAGAGATCTGAAGTGAAGGGTCGACTCATGGGCGCCCCCGAGGCGCAGTTGAGCGATTTCCCAACGGTGGCAGCAGCTCGAGCCTGGGCCAAAAATGCAAGAGTCCCGCAACAAAGTACAAAAAGCATGGCACAAAGTCCAATTTGTTTGTAATGGCATTTACTTTGTTTACAAAATAAATTTTGTATGCACAGCGAGTAGTTTGGTCCCTCCACCACTTGCTATCTCCATCTCTGTCTGGGTCTGGCTCTGGCTCTGACTCTCAGTCTGCGCTGGAGCCAGTCTGCGACGCGCTGGCAAGCCGTGCAGTCGCGGCAAGGCGACTACAAGCTCAAAGAACAAAAAAATAAAATAGAGATGAATGCATATAGTATAAAATTCTAAAATCGCTGTACCATAAAATTTCCCCATTGGGCGCTTGGGTTTTTGTTATGCCACTCTAGGCAAGGACGATTCTCTTTGCCTTTTTGCTGTTTAATTTTGCAATTGTCCTTTTCGACTCGAACAGAACTGGAACTGAAGCTGCAGTTGAAGCAGGAGCGGCAGCGGGAGTTATCTATTCCGGTCATGGCTGTTGCGGTTACTGATTTATGTTTGTTTATGTTGTTCAACATTTGTTTTATTTACCGCACATACTAGAAACAATAAAAAACAAGCCAAAGCAAATAAACAGCTTAGCATGTCACACCACTACCTTTGCAAGACAAAAATCAAATTCTATTTTTGTTTAGCTTGACTTTGTTTGTTTTTCTTGTAAGGCAGAGTCATGTCGTTACATAGCTTTCGACATACTTACCTATAAACATAAATTATACAAGCTTTATACCTCTATTACTCATAATTAGAATTGCCTCTTTCAAATAGCATATCATTTAAATTGTCTCCTAGCCAAGCTGTGACAAGAAATGCTTTAAAAACCAGTTTTCCTTCTGCTTCGCAAATGTTCGTAGAACTCACAAAATATGATTCATTTTGCACAAATATTCATATATATATATTATATATATATATAATAGACTGGTTTCAATGCGTCAACAGTCGTTGTTATGTCTCAGCTATGCTTTTTGTTAGCCATTAAAATATTAAAGTACAAAAGCTTTTCTATTGAGTCGGGTCAGTTCAAAGTGCGATGCCTCACAAGCTATGAGCTGTTCTCTGCTTACAAAATATAGCTTGAATAATATAAAATATATATAAAACAATAAGGAACTAAAGGTTATATATCAAAAATATGATTACCATAAATAAAAATTTTTAATAAAATAAGTATTAAATTATAAAACTAAAGGAATCAAATATACATTACCAAGATATATATAAAATTTTCGAAAAAAATATATAAATATATATGTATATATAAATTATATAAAAAATAATAGAATTATAAAAAATTGAAATATAAAATTAAAAATAACGTCTATAAGCTCTAGAATACAAAACAAAATGATAAACAAAAATACATTAAATATAAAGAAAACATGCAAAAAAAAAATATAAATATATATAAATTTAAATATTTGTACATACAAAAAAATATATATAAAATATTAGGATATATATAAAAACTAACTATATTTATTTTCATATTAATTACTTATATATATTTATATATATCTATATATAATTTATGTAAATAATTTATATAATAAAAATAAATATATTTAGTAGGTATTCAGTGGGAGTTTTAGATGTAATTTTACTTGCTTTTATTTAAGCACACTCAGAACGCAGCGAGTCTCAATATTGTTTTGTTATCTCTTCTCATTTCATATGCCGACTGAACCTCGCACCGCCTCTCGACTAGTGGCTCACATGTGGCAATGACAGTTGCGCCACACTCGGTCGTAGTCGAACAATACTAGAAGATTACCATATGCAGTTGTTATTGGTTTATGCTATTGAAACTCTGCTTAATTTCTTTGTTCTTTTATAATGTTACGCTACTTTATTATATTCTGCAAACTTATGCTTTAGTATTTCATGATATTTAAACTTTTTTATAACTCTTTAGCACTGATTCACACCTACCAACACGTCTCCCTCCAACAACCCCTTGTATATCATACTACACCAAAAAAACTTTAGCTTGCCAATGTGCCTGGCACAGTTCTAATTAAATTCACTTACAGTTGTTAAAGCGTGACCGTGTAACCAGCATAGCTAAACTAATTAAATAGAAAGTCAGATATTTCGCACCACACAGGCTTAAATATAAAGTGCTTTGAAGCTTTTTAATTGTTATTTATAAAATGATATTTAATCCATTGTAACCCTCATATGTGTGTAAAATAATTTCGGCAGCCGGTCTGTGGAATGGTTACAACTTTTTTGAGGTCGATCCCAGAGAGCTTGGCCGAATTGCGAACTTTCAATATTATGTCGGAGGTCGGCAATCGATCTCGTGTCATTATGACACTCCACTCTGTAATCAACAAGCCGTTCAGCTTCTGTTACACTGATTAGCTAATCGATACACTTACTAAGACTTATGATGTCATCCACTTCCAGGCACGTGTGCTGAATTGCGAAGGTCTCATAGTCCGTATCCAGCACATATACATCGATGCCTTCGGGGGACGCTAAAGAAATATTTTGTTAGAATTTGCATTTTTTTGTAATTTATGTAAGTCAACGAAGAGATTTACTTTTGAGTTCAAGACTGTATTTGCCATCCGTTGCATCCACACTAACTACATTTACATCTCGCCGGACCACATTACCTGACCTATATATTTGCCAGATGCGTAAAATTTAGAATGTTGACAGTTTTGCTCGAATAAAAGTCACTTACTTTTGGTCGATTTCCGATTTCTTGATTACATATTTACCGCGAACATCCTGATCAATGCTGATCGCCAAACATTTGGGCGTATGCTTACTATACCGTAGACTCGATAATATGGGATACCATAAGCCCCCATACCGTTTCATATCCAAGTCTCTAATGGCTGTCATGTTCGCATCGCACGTACCGCGGTCGACGTCCATAGCTAGTGTTTGACTGCCACACAAGAGCACCAAAACCCCAGCGCTGCTGTCAATCGACAGAAAGTTATATATATATTTATTATACTAACTATCCGTACCTACATGTAAGTCACTTGATTCAACATGTTTGCAAAGACTAGACTACTCAATGCCAATTGATGGACAGCAATATAAATACGCGACGCTGCTTAAAATCAAATTTGATATGTGCTGCAGCTTGAAGTATTGATTCGATATAAATAAATAAAATACAGCTAAAACTTTTTCTTTAGCCAAAAAGAAAATTTAGCTATACGAAAATTAAAAAAAAAGATAAAAAATTAAAACTAAATATAATTAAAATATATATATATATATATAACTATATAACTATATTTTTTTATTTATATACATAATTTTTTTTTAAGTTTTTCTTCAGAAAACATTTTTATATTTGTTTTTCTTTATCTCTTTAAAACGTATATACAATATATTATGAACATTCGTAAAGGCTCTGCTAATCAAAGAGTTCAGTAATTAATATTATTAATAATTTTACATTCTGTGCAAGCATGCATATATAGTAGTCTGAGTATACGTTAGGAATATACTATATAGACACTGTTAAGCTGTTTAGTCATTTAAGAAGTTCATGAATATATCGAAGAGACGCTCATTGAAGCGTCTTAGCCATTCTCATGCTGCCTCAATAGCCTTTGGCAGCTCATTGCTGACAAAGTCTTCGTCTAGCAGCTGGGTCATGGCTACGTCTGTGCCGTTGCCCGCCAGCTGGGGGCAGTTCTTTTGGTTGGTCTTGATTAGCACCGCTCGGCTGATCTTATTATCATCCAGTACCTTGTAGGCTGTCTCGATAGTCTCCTTGGTGGCCTCGCGCTGGCGCGTCAATATCCAGACGATTTCTGCAATGGCAAATCACATGATTGTAATTAACATGTTCAACAATGTGTCCCTAGTCGACCATTGGGCAGTTAATTATGCAGTTGCATTAATTATGCCAAATGCAATAACTGATTCGTCTGGTTTGCATGCCAAATTAGCCAAGGCCAAGGCGCGACGTGCCCGACCGATTTGACCTAAGCTTTTGCACTTCCGCATACTCACTTAAATGGGCCAACGGAGTCAGACTGCTGCAGCTATAGACAACTGCGTACGATTCATAATCGGTGCCTAGCACCTGATAGTTCGCTCTATTCGCTTGCTCTGAAACGGATAGATACGAAAATAGTAGATGTAAAAACAAATATAGATAGAGATACAAATAAATGTGTAGATACAGATGCATGTGCAAATATAGCCACAGATACAGATACAGATACAGATACAGATACATAGAACTTACGATTTTTAGAGAAGACCACAGCCAGCTGACCTGGTGCAATGACCTTGGCTGTGCCTGTTACATTCGATGGGTTGCCAGTTCTATATATGCAAGCATTAAGATAGAGCTCTTTATCAACAATCTGCAATACTCACAATCGATTGATAGCTGCATTCATAACAGACACTGTGCTGTTGTCGGCGATCTCGTAGCGTGCGTAAATACATTTCTTGCCAATTTCAAAGAGAAACGGATACTTCGAGTGCTCGTACCAGACGCCCATGTACTGAAGTATAGAAAAACAAGTTAAATGAATCAGCAGTTGGGTTTTGTTATCTAAAAATTTGCTGTATCATGAATTCTCACAGAAAACGAAACATGTAATATGTGCTAAGTTGACTGCTCAACAGCCTAATGATGGATAAAAAACTCATTAATCAAACTAACTTATCTATGATATTATATTGATAAGCGGCATTTGGTTTGGTCTTTAGGTTTTTTTTTTGTAACTAAATAGTTCTTGGTAATTGACAAAAAACTTAAAAACTTAATTCATCATTTATTGGACTCTTTTTAGTTTATGTTTGAATCAAATTATAAATAATTCTATATGCATCTTTAATCTAATGATATTTACTCTTCAATTTATTTCAATTTTTAATATTTTTAATAATAATAAAATAGGTTTTTGCCAATTCCTAAAAAGCAAAATATTCATAATAATATGGATAAAATATACAAAAAATTATTAACAAAAAAATTATATTTTTAAAATTCATAAAAAAATGTATCTGAATACTATTAAGAAATTTAAAAATAAATGGAATAATATTTTGTTTTAAATATAAATAATACTGTATGAAACTGTATGATTTAATATATAAAAAATTAAAAATATTTTTATAAAAATAGAAATCAATTAGCAATTTTTATAATATTTTACTTTTCAATTATTTGTATTTAAAGTATTATTAAATAATAATAATAATACATAATAGATTGTAAGACTGTTTTCAGCAATTGCATATCAATCGATCGACCGATCGATATCAATCAGCAAATATTTAATTAAAAAGTTATTCAAGTGATTGTCAAGTAACGAAAACACACGTGAATCATGATGACTTATCATTGAAAGTGCGCAAACAAAAATAATATGCTACGGAATGTAACTGGATGATAAGCACGCACAGAAAACAGTAAATTGCCAACTTGATGAGTGCCTTTTGCATAATTAATTGAAACGCGATTGAGAAGCGTTACAATTAATTAATTTGAAGATAGTTTCAAGTGCTCAAAAGCTCAACAGAATCACGTGCGTGTGTGTGTGTGTGTGTGTGTGGGTGTGTCGGACTTACCGCTTCCAAGTCGAACTCGTCAGGTATCTTAACCTCAGGACACTGGCCAGGGAAGGGTACCTGTGCTGCCACCATGAGTCCATTGATGGCCACAAAGGCGAGCAGGCAAGCTGAGGCACTGCCATCAAGAAGAACATGTCAAGAGTCACAAATAAGTCAGGTAAGTCATATATATTCACCTGATAGATTTATGCATTATAACTGGAAGCACTTGTTTAATTAGACTATTTAATAGAGTATATATATATATATACGAGAACGGGTTGGAATAGTATGGCTCGTTGTATTCTCTGTTAGCTCGTTCGTTGAGCACTAAAAATTCATGCGGCTGCAGTGCATCATTTATAGATTCATCTTTCAAAGCTTTTTTTTGTTCTGTTGCTGATTGTTGTGCTCTTCCTCTTGCTGCTTGGCTTCCGAAAGCTTTTTGCAACTGCGCCGGCGCTGCTTTGTTGTCGATGTTAGAGTAAACAAATGAAAAGTGAAATTCTGACGATCCAAACGGAAGGGCTTAAAGCGAAGGTGTGCCGCGGGGCAACAGGTGGGAGCTGCCAATGTTCTGTTTGCATTTCATCGCTGCACGCGACGCTTTTACTCGCCTTATCGCCAGCAGCATTATAAATTGAATCAACAACAATAATAATAAATGCATCAAGTGCAGCTCAATTAGATTACAATACCCATCCTTATATATTATATGTATAAATTATATATACGATTAAATCTTTTCGTTTATATGGCAGTCGTGAAGTCTCTAATCTCTGAAGTATTCGTAAGCTTATTCATTGTAAATAAAGGCATTTTTTACTTAAGTTTATACTATGTTTCAACAAGGAAATATACTTTAAAATTTGTTTCTTGTTCATTGAACCGAACAATTTTCAATTAAAGTTTATAGCTAACTTGAAATGCAAATGGTTTTTTTATGTTTAAGTTACAATTCAGGAAATTTGTGATATTTAAAAAATATATATAAACAATGAGCTATATATATTAGAAAATAAGAGTCATATTATATGTCTACTGAACTCCTCAATTATTAAATTAATAAAATAAGCACTAATTTATTAATTGCCTATTAATAAATAATTAAATACTTTTCTAGTATATTAAACAGGTCTAAGGCTAACAACCTTTGCTATGTTTATCTTACCTGCACACACACACACATGGATTCACATACATGCAAGTATCAAAACAATAACAACAATCACACTATAAATGATTCCCTTCACACGCCTCAATTAACTTCCACACATTACAAAGCTTTTGCTCGCATGTGGAATGTGTTTGCAGCGCCATCTACTGACAGCGTACACTCGTGTTCGCAGTGGCGCCATCTATGCGGGGCTTTGTTCTGCAGCTACTGCAGCACTACAGTCATGAGTGAAATCCTTAATAGAGCCAGCTTGTGGTCGTCTTGGTCATTATTTATGGAAATCTCTGGAACGCACACACCTGCATACACTTGTACACACCTGCACACACTCACACACAGGCGCGCACGGGTAAAATTGTTGTGCTGCGGTTATTTAAAAACGAGGTAAAAAAAACATTTTCGTATTATTAAATTAATTAAATGTAAGCCACAAATTGAGTTTAATGTACAAAAATGCGCCCATGGCAAAGGACGAAGCGCTCTACAAGCCATTCACATATGGCCTAGGCAAAGGGGCTTACACACATATTTATTTAACTGGGTCGCTTGAAGAGTTGTATCTGTGATTATATATAAAAATATATAATATATATATAAGTAAATATTATATAATATATATTATATAATATATATATAAGTAAAGTAAAAAACAGTAAAAAATTAACTATAGGATATTAAAAAAATTAAGATTCTACTTAAATATAATTTTAAAAGTGTTAAACAAAATTAATAATAAATAAGGTACTACAATTTTAAAAATAAATCAACTTCTAATTGAAGTCCAAAATAAAAATGCGAAGAACCTAATGTGAAAAATATATATATATATAATGTATAAAAATATATATATTATATTTATATTTTATGAATATTTTTTATTTATACTTTTCATAATTATGAATAAGAAATCTTCCTAATCTTTTCTGCAGATTAATTTTCTCTTATTATCTTATTAATTATTTCAGATTATCTTCAAATATATTGTTTCTTGAGTCTCTTTTGTAAAGTAAATATAATTTCGAATAATTGTAAATATCAGGAAAATATTTCTATACAAATTAACAATTTGAAATAATTTACAAGATGCATATGATGAAGCAAGTGACTTCTGATTTGAACTACAAATATTATATATATACCAGAATTTCAGTAATTGAGAATATATACGAACAGCCCTCGCTTATTAAACAAGCATACAATTGCATGTATGTGGATAGATCTGAATGGCCTGCCAACTATTTTCGAATGAAAATTTATGATGCTCTCCAGTGCTGAGCCATTGCGACAAATGAAAGGATCCATGAAATGGACACGCCAAAGGAGAAGTGGTGAAGGAGGAGGAGGAGGAGGAGTTGGCGGCGTCAAGGCAAATGGGTTGGCTGATCTGCTTGGCTGGCTGGCTGGTTGGCTGGTTGCTTGGATTTGGCGCTGTTGTGTTGCAGCATGCAGTAATTAAATTTAAAATATGTACAACGGATGTTTGAGTTTTGAAACAGGTGCCGAGCTGCCGAGGCGCCCGGCGCGGCCAACGGCAGCGGGCGGATGCGGATAATTTTATCAAAGGCAGCCGACACGAAACGGCGCAAGCGAGTTGCCATAAGCCGAACAAGTGGGCAGCTGCATAGCTGCAGCTTTGCCATATGCAAACGTACACACACACTCACACACACAGATACACACACGCACACACAATTCAATCATTTTGGATGCATTTTAAGTGTATTTTGCGGTTATGCGCTTTATGGGCATTTTGTGCCATGTAATTTGATTTATATGCTCGCTTCCCTTCACTTTGGCCCCTCGCTCGCACGCTCTTTATCTTATTTTGATTAAAAAGAAATCAGAGTGCTGGCCACAGGATGCGCGTGTGCCATTTAATTGGCTCTCTCTGCAGCCATTTTAAATGTTGCTAACCAATTGAATTAAATTTGATGATTGTTATGCAGCTGCTGCTCTGCTGATTCTTATTAGCAGCGGCATGCAACAGTTGAGATGACAAAAGGCTGCAGGATTAAGCCAAATAAGCAACGACTAAATGACAAAAGGTGTATCACTAGTGAGAGAGAAAGACAGGGTGAAGGAGTTAGAGAGAGAGAGCGAGAGACAGACTGAGGCAGGCGTTTACTGTATAATGACCTTTCACCCAATTCCTTTGGGCTTAGCTGCGAAATGTCCTGAGCCTGGGAATGACACAACATGACGCAATTTTGGCTTAGCACAAATACACACAACTGCACACACACACACACACACACACGCACACACTGCTGAGCCATTCGTAAAGTAAATGCGATTCTGCTTGCTTTTGACACAGGAACTTGGCAAGGATTCACTGCAGCTGCGAGCTCACAATGCAGCACCAAATTCCATTGCATTGCATTGAATTTAATTGAAGTAAATTTAGACATTTAATTAATTTGATCAATATAATAATCACAGAAATTATTTTTAATGCAGTGTAATTATATTGCAAATTTAATCAAGACTTAAGAGAAGTGCTTGATCCTTTACCAAAGTGTCATCAGCTGCTGCTGCAAAAGGTGAATAAATTCAAGTGACTTCAATAGAAATTTATCTTAAATTAGAAATTGATGCAAATTCGAAAATGCATTTAATTCTGTTGCTTTAAGCCAAGCAACTAAACTGGGCAGGCCAAAAGTGAATTTAAAATATTTTTTGGTTTTTAATTTCAATTGATTTTTAGCTAAAGACTTGCAGTCAGTAATACAGGATTAAATGAAATAGTTAAGTCGTGTGGGCTGCTTAGCAGAACTGAGTTGGCCAAGAAATACGTTTTGCTAGAAAATTGGATTGCCTTGATTGTGATAGATATATAAAGTAGTTTAGCTAAGGATCAGGCTAAGTTAGCTCTGGAATCTCACAAAGTTAATCTGAATTTAACAATATTTATAATATTTTTGTTTAGTTTTTATCTACACAAAATGACATCTATAAATATTTATGTTTCAATACTTATGCCTGGCTCATAGCATGGCTCTAATGACATAAGATACATTTTATAATAATAAGATGGGGTCTCCTTACAATTGCGTATGTTCATAAAGAGTTTGACCTGCTCGTATTCGATTCAAACTTCTGACTAACACTTGGGAATCTAAGCTAGTTCTAAGAGTAGTTGGCGCCTCATTTGCAAGGCTCCAGAATGACCTTATTCCACTTGCTTTGTTCGGAGTGGCTTAATCATAGCCAATGCCATCTACTCAGTGACTCTTGCTCTCTAAGCTTGATATACATAAAACATATATAGGTTTATATATTTATGCTTGAACAAAAATAAAATTAGTTTCGATTATAAGTGAAACTAAGCTTCGCTTTACATAAGGACACAAATATTTATTTGTACTTCAGAGCAGTGCTTAGTAGTTTACTTGAATACTCATGCAATAGTCAATACAAATAATAAAACAATTTACATGTAAACAATTTTCCAATAAAAAAATACAGTGCTGGCAACAGTTACAAACGATATATATTTTTCTATATGAAACACTCATTGAAGAGCCAAAAAATCAAAGCCATTCAAGCAAAGCTATTGAATTGAAGTCTTGCAAGTATATTTTTCTAATGCCTTCAGCTGCTTTGCTAACTTTCATTTTGAATTTAGCATTCTTTGCAAATGAACAACAAAATTTGCTTGTTTCAAAATCAATTGAAACAATTCGTTTTGTAATCTCGCATTAAAAATGATTTATTGTTTGACTTAAAAAAATAATTTAAAAAATTTATAATACTCTCACTGATGCTATAAATACTAAATACATAATTTATTTAGCACCTTGTTGTCCTGCTGGGGCATCAGCTGAACTTTCACTGAGTCTTTGGGGCTTGGGGTTTTTGAGAGTCAGACAACAAAGGCCAAAGTGTGGAGCCTGAAAAGTATTTTGATTTGTGCAATGCACAAAAGTATTGTCGTTCGGCTCTGCCAGTGGCGGCAATTTCTTAAATTTTTTATAGCGCATAACCTGTCTGGCACACATGCGTCTCTCCACTCGACCGCACTCCCGCCCCACTCCAGTGGCTGTTGAGCTACCCGCAGCGCCTTGCTGGCAGCTCGTTGTACGCTGTTTGTTGTAAGGCTCAAAGTTAGAGCAAGGACTAAGGATGTCGTCGCTATCGTTGGCTACGCTTATTGCATTATGCCACCGACTCGAGACTGGAGTCAG